TGAGTCAAATCATCAGTTACCCAAAGTTGGTTGGTCAGTATGTGGTCCTTTAGACAACAGATTTAAACTGGTAATCCAAGTTTGACGTGACCGACCTCATCTACCTCTATCATTTCACTCTTAGCTGAAGCTGACCGAGCCTTTTGAGGACAAACCGTTTATTCACTCAGCCTGTCTGTCTACTTTTACATGTTAGAACTAGCTTGGCTTCTGAAACAGTTACCATTCTTCATACCCAGCCGATCCAATCAGCAGACAGTTTACTTGTACATCGAATCGCTTGAAGTTGTTTGACCGAACTGTCTCTAGTACGGTCATATCGACCGGTGACCTCTGCATAAGGACAACTCAACTTTTGGAGCACCTGTCCGGTAAACGAGAGAGTCACAGTCTTCGGTTATGCATAAAGCCTTATGTGTGCTCCTGCCCCTCTTCTCTTTTACAAAATGCGGATTGTTTATCCTCAGTGGTCGTCCATTCTCCTAAGCCTGAAATTGTTCGGATGTTCACTAGGTATTCCTTCTCTCTCTCTCTAACGACCCTTTCTATCATAACTCCTTCTTCAGTATGGCCCGGTAGTTGCACATAGCAATCACTATCCATCGCTATCCATCTTTCCGTATCATGCCTATCTCTGTCATACGGCCGAATTTGTTTGAGTTTTCCGAGATTTTATTCCAGATGTGGGTTCCGTAGGCAATACGTGCCCTTCAAGTTCAGCAACACGAAACCAAGCCGATCGTTCTTAGGTTGGTGTGGATGAAATCGTCCACTATCCGATATGAGAAGATGCACTTGGGCCGTTGGATTGAGTGAGGCAACCGCGATCTTGACTTCGTGGTCCGCATTGTTACTGGAGCCTGACGCTACGGCCTCGTGAGGGAAGAGTCTCTTCGGGAGGGGGGGGGCTTGAACTCCACGAACATGCGTCGCTTCAACACCTCTAGGTTTGACTGAACTTAGGACTAATCACATTGTTGGCTTAGCACATCCACAGCGTGAACCTTGGTCTCTTTATTAGCCTTGATATCGCGCACACTTTACGCCCTTTGAGCGACTATACTTTGAACCCACACCAATCAGTCCATATCCTAATCTAAATAGGTCAGGTACACATTGCATCTGAACAGAATTTTTGTTTCTCTCTATTGTTCTTCCTTTTTTTGAACCTGTTCGTCCCAGGGCAGCAGTTTCCTGTACAGTGATTCGAATGTGGTCCGTCAATCAGTCAACTGTCCAAAGTGTTTGCGTTCTTCCTACTGACGCAACGCATTTTTTTCCAAATAAGTAAACAAATCACATGGGTTTTAACGAGAGAGACCCGATTGATCTTCAGTTTTGCGTGATGTACAAAGGCCGCCCCACGTTTCACTCGCTGCCATATTCGATATATCGCAGTATATTTTCTCGACAGAACACGCTGCTCATTAGGTTGTTGAGAACTGTTCAGTAGCACCGGTTTCGTCTTTTGTAGAGCTTCTCAAGTAGACACATTCCCCCAGTCTCTATCCACCTTATGTTCTTTTTGAACAGCAATTTTGTGTGCAACTGGCGTTTTTGGGATCTTATGCGTTTTTATGTAGAGACGAGACGAGAATCGTCCCTCCTTATCCTGGTCGTGAGGCAGTTTGAATTCAATGATTCTTATCAGTCCCCTTTTTCAATGATGTTTGGTACAATGCACATCCCACCTTAATTCACGACACTTGGATCATCTGACAGGTTGAGTCAGCTTCACAGATATTCGGTAGTGTTGCTGCTTACAAGTGACAGTCAGAGATTAGGTCCGCACAAAGTAAGATCTGATTCCAGCACCGGATATGAAACCTTGAGAGCAAAGCACCCTACAGTATCGATCCAGGTCCTGAGCTACCCTCCGAACTGGCAACACAACCCTGTGCATAGTTCGGCAGTTCGCTTTTAGGTCTTTGGTGAACGTGGACGATACTGGATGTTACATTGCTAGTCTTGTCTGTCTGAAGAGAAAGTGAACCTTGAATAGTAGCTGGATGCTGAGATTTTGTACGATAAATTTTGTTTGCAGCGTGTACCGTGAATTTTTCACGTATATTTTCCATGAAGCCCCCATCAGACAACTCCTATCACCGTGCCTACATATACTAGTAACACTGAAATGTTACATGGTCTTGGAAGATTCGAGCAGTTTCGCTCGAACTACCCTCTTGAAGAGTTCAGAAATGGTAGCACGGTTTCACAAATACCGGAAGTAATATGAAAAAGGCCTAGGGAAATTTAATCAGTTTTTTGGGCACTGTCGTCTATATACAATGGAGGGTGCATGCAATTTGTGTCGCGGACCACAAAACTTTGCAACTGATATTCAACTGAGAAAGCCCTCTTGTATGACGTTGTTTGATCAACTGGTGCAGATCGCTGCACGAGTTCTTCAGTAGACCTTTCGATAAATATCTATACACATGTGGGTGTTGCCACTAGACCACAGCTGTACTGCTAAAACCCAATAGAGATGCCTTAATGTGGCATAAGGATAACTGGGAAATGCTGTGGGTGGTATGTGGGACTATTCACTTGGAAGAGTCAACACTTACTTGGTTTTGTCTTCGGAGATTCTGATTTATTGACAATTTAACAACAGCTGGAGTGGAATAAGAAGTCTATTGTTAGGACTAAAACTAAGGCATGAACTTATCCGAGTGATTCTCAAGGAACTGCCTCTGCTGTGACCTCGTCTGGAGCTGTGCACTTGAAGAATTCGGTTGAACTCAGAACGTGTTTAAGGCTCTTGACATTTAATATTGCGGAGAAAACAGCTAACCTACTCCTGTAACCTATTCCGGATGATTTTTATCTAACAGCAAAAACCTAACATCCCATTGCTTCAAAGATATACCTCTAGTCACCGATAGATAGTAGCGGCGTGAATCTGCGCTGCCGCGGTTGGTATTCTGTCTAAAACTCAGACAGACCGCTGAGAATGTTTCGGATGATAGGCAACCTACAGACCCATTTTTGACGCCGGTCATGTTTCCCATCAAGATAATTCGCTTTTGAGAGCAACTGTTCTGTACAAATTAACATGTATGCGCTGCCACTAATCTTTCACTGTGATTTTCATGCGCTGAAAGATTTGCGAAATCCATGTTACTGGAATGCTGGCAAATCGCCTGCATTTAATTTGATGCAGATCCAGCTGTCACTTTAGCTCCACCTACGACTATTCCGCACTTTAGTATGATTGGTTTGACGTGTTTAACCTGTTATTATTTAGATACACTGTTATGACCCAATGTTCTCAACAATGTAGCAGGCAGTGATGAAAACATTCAAAATCATTTTTCTAACCAGTCGGGGCGTGCCCTAGTAGCGCAGTCGGTTAGCGCGTCAGTCTCATAATCTGAAGGCCGTGAGTTCGAGTCTCACCTGGGGCAGGCAACTTTTGCCTGAAACGCACGCACACGGTCCGCAGTCGGTCAGTCACCCGTTTGCTGCGACTTATGCGGTCGACCGAGGTGAGATAGTTGAGGCTCATCATTTGTCTGAACGCACGTTACCATTGTCTCCAACCTGGTAATCCGGCCTTTTGTATCCACCCGACTCTCCTACGCGTTTCGGTCGGCCTCTACCTACCTTCCGTTGAAATCTCACTTAGCTTAGGCTATCTGAGCGACAATCGACCGGATGCTCCGGTTCCTGTCTCAGCATCAGCGCGCGATAGATGATATTCACAGTCCGGTTAGAGCAGGAACACCGCAGCGAGTTGGGACATCTAACTGATCATGATTCGTCAGTAGCCACTTTCGGGAGATGCAGAGGACAAAAGCTCATCAATTGCGCGGCGAAGCCCGTCGGCCTATCCACAAGGGGGATCGTCATATTACCCCATTTCATGCTTTAAATTTCAGCTTATGATGACTGGTCATATAACTCATCGAAACTCCAGAAGCAATTCTAAGCCATTCTTCACCACCGACTTTCAGGGGGAAAAACTCTATCTTCGACCAATGTTTTCAGTGGTTTACTTGTAGACATCAAGATCTTTCGGCCACATCTGGGAAGACTATTTGTACCTGATTTGTTTACGCTGCAGAAGATGAATATATGTAGCTTTACTAGGCACCCCTGTAGGACTTCCATTTTCCTGGGATAGTATTTTTGACAAAATGACGTGAAAGTTCTTAGGCAAATTAGATCATATGGCAATCAGTTCCTTGCACGATGAGTTCGGAAGCGTTCAAAAGTCTTCGTTTATTTATCTCACTGTTTAGACCGGGA